GGTCTGATGCTGAGTGAAGTGAGGAGAACCAAGAGAACATTGTACACGGTAACAGCCACGTTGTGCAATGACTAATATTGATAAACTTAACCCTTCCTGGCAATACAAGGATCTGAGACATCTCCAGAAGCCTTATGATGGAAAATGCTATCCACATCCAAAGAAAGAACTATGGAAGTCAAATTGCTATTTTTTTTCTCTTCTGTTGAGTTTTGTTTCCTCTTTCTGATGGTTCCTCCTATTGGTTTTAACTTTTACTTACAACATCACTAATGTGAAAATATGTTTAATATGAATGTAAATGTATAGCCTATATCAGATTGTGCGCTGTCTTGGGGAGGGTGGTGGGGAGGAAGGGGGAGAAAAATTTTAAACTCAAAAGCATATGGAAGTGATTATTGATAAATCAAAAGAAATTAATAAAAAAAAAAGAAATACTGCAGAAAATACTGCAAGCAGCCAGAAAGAAACAATTTAAGTATCACAGAGCTACAGTCACAATAACACAAGATTTAGCAGCTTCTACATTAAAACAGCGCTTCTTAAACTATGTGTTGAATGTGAGGGTCATGAAAAATTTGACAACAGTAAAAGGTTTCTGAACACACAACCAAAAATTAATTCAAAATCAAATGCAAAATGAATCCGAAATGTTTCTGGCAGCGCTTGCCTGTGTAGCATCAAGCAACTTCACTGCAGCCTTGGTTCTGAATACACATGTGCACTTTGCACTGCACATGCCGTCACGCCACACAATGCCAATGAATGCTGCCAGAAACACCTCAGCTCATATCGAGACTTATTATCATGCTTAAGGGCAGCCCAAAGTTTGGAATTCAGTTAGATTAAACAACTGATATTTCTAACATGGCACAGATGTTACTTTATGTAAGATATGTTTATGAAGGAAGCACACATGAGGAATTATTGTTTCGTCATCCTTTAGAAGGGCACACAGAGGGGAAGATATATATCTTAAAGCTCTCAAGATGGTGAAGTTTTTTACTAGCTCTGTGACCCTAGGCAAGTCACTTGCCTCACCAAAAAAAAAAATTAAGGGCAAAGTTTAAACTGAAATTGAAAGATGAAGGTATTATATTTTTGACTGAGCAGAAATCCAATTTTGTTCATTTTTTTCATAATGACTTAATAGCTTTCAAAACTGTATCACCTGTCAGATATTTTCAAAAAACTCAATGATTTAAACATGTTGCTTTAAGGAAAAAACTGTAACATTTATGTTAAAAGATAAAATTGAAAGTTTTACTAAAAAAGTTACATATGGAAAAACAGGATCAAAATTTAGAAACGTTTACAATTACAGATGATTTTGAAATAACCCTGAAAATAACCTTCCCAAAGATTTGATTGTGAAAGTTATAATTGATCATCTGAAGTGCCTGGAGACACAGTTTCAGAAATACTTCTCTTCAAATTTTGATTCTAAAAAATTAAGTTGAGTTCATAAGGCATAATCAATTGAAATAAAAAACATAAGTCATCTGCCATTAAATTTCAAGAAGAATTTGCTGAGTTACCAAGCAAGACATGTTTAAAACTTGAGTTTCCTAAAAAATCATTAAACGAATTTTGGCTTGGGATTAGGACAGAATTTCCAACAATTTCTGAAATGGCCCTAAACATACTTCTGCCAGTTTGTACTTTATATTTATGTGAAGTGGCATTCTCAGCATTGACAATTATAAAATCAAAATATCAATCAACTCTGAAAAATGTTGAAGATGCTATACATCTTGCAGTATCAGATATGCAGACAAGATTTAATTCTTTATGTAAAAATAAACAAGCACATCCATCTCATTAGTATGCAAATTTACTTTTGTCTTTAATAAATGGCAAAATTATATGTATATCAAATAATTGTTTTAAAATAAATTTCCTTATGATTTATTATCAGTAAACATTTGATTTGTATACTTATTTTATATACCTATATACCTAGGATCGCATAAAAAGTTCCTGGGCAAAAAGGTGTCTTGAGTGGAAAAAGCTTAAGAAGCCCTGCATAAAAGGATCGGAGGGCTTGGAATATGACATTCCAAAAAGCAAATGAGGGGGCAGTTAGGTGGCGCAGTAGATAGAGTACCGACCCTGGATTCAGGAGGACCTGAGTTCAAATCTGGCCTCAGACACATAACTAGCTGTGTGACCCTAGGCAAGTCACTTAACCCCACTGCCTAGTCAAAAAAAAAAAAAAAAGAGCAAAGGAGCTAGGACTACAACCAAGAATCACTACCCATCAAAACTGAGTATAATCCTTCAGAAGAAAAAATGGACATTCAATAAAATAGAGGACTTTCAAGCATTCCCGATGAAAAGACCAGAGCTGAACAGAAAATCTGACTTTCAAATACAAGACTCAAGAGAAGCACAAAAAAATAAACAGGAAAGGGACTTAATAAGGTTAAACTGTTTATATTCCTACATGGGAAGATGATACTTTTTTTTCTTTGCAAGGCAAATGAGGTTAAGTTACTTGCCCCTGGTCACATAGCTAGTAAGTGTCAAGTGTCTGGTCTGAGACCACATTTGAACTCAGGTCCTCCTTGACTCCAGGGCCAGTGTGGAAGATGATACTTGTAACTCATAAGAACATTCTCATTATCAGGGCAGATAAAAGGAGTATATATAGACGGGGGCACAGGTGTGAGTTGAATATGAAGGGATGATAGCTAAAAAAAAAAACAAAATTAAAGGGTAAGAGAGGAATATACTGGGAGAAAGGGAAAGGGAGGGGTACAATGGGGTAAATTATCTCACATAAAAGAGGCAAGAAAAAGCTTTTACAGTGGAGGGGAAAAGGGGGTAGATAAGGAGGAGTGAGTGAACCTTACTCTCATCAGAATTGGCTCAAAAAGGGAATAATAAACACACTCAATTGGGTATAGAAATCTACCTTGCCCTACTGGAAAGTAGGAGGGGAAGGGGATAAGAGAAGGGGGTGGGGGTTGATAGAAGAAAGGGCAGATTGGGGGAAAGGGAAGTCAGAAGCAAAACACTTTTGAAGAGGGACAGAGTGAAAAGAGAGAGGGGGAACAGAATAAACAGGGGAGCAGGGAATAGGAAGGAGGGAAATACAGTTAGCCACAGTAACTGTGAAAAAAAATTTTTTTTAAGTTTGTCTAATAAAGGCCTCATTTCTCAAACATATAGAGAACTGAGTTAAATTTCCCAGTTGATAAATGATGAAAAGATACGAAGTTTTCAGATGAAGTAATCAAAGCTATCTATAACCATATAAAAAATGCTATAACTCATTACTGCTTGGAGAAATGCAAATTAAAACAATTCTGAGGTATTCCCTCATACCTATTAGATTGGCTAATAGGACAGAAAAGAAAAATGACAAATGGTGGAGGGAATGTGGGAAAAATTGGGCATTAATGTACTGGTGGTGGAGTTGTGAACTGATTCAACTATTCTGTAGACCAAAATTGGAACTATGCCCAAAGGGCTACAAAACCATGCATACCCTTTGACCTGGCAATACCACTACTAGGGTCAGTATCCAAAGGAGATTGAAAAAAAAAAAAGAAAAGGACCTATATGTACAAAAATATTCTTAACAGTTCTTTTCTGGGGGCAAAGAATTAGAAATTGAGGGGATGTCTATCAACTGGGGAATGACTGAATAAGTTGTGGTATGTGACTGTGATGGAATACTATTGTGCTGTGAAAAATGATGAGCAGAATAGCCTGGAGAGACTTGCATGAGATGATGCAAAGTGAAATGTACTGTGTACATTTTAGCAACAGCAATACTGTAAGATGACTTAACTATTCTCAGCACTACAATGATCCAAGACAACTCTGAAGGACTTAACGATGAAAAATGCTATCCATCCCTAGAGAAATTACTGATGGTGTCTGAATACAGCTTAAAGCATACTTCTTTTGCTTTATTTTTCTTGAGGTTTTTTTTTTTGGTCTGTTTTCTTTCACAACATTACTATTACACAAATGTTTCACATGACTACACATGTATAACCTATATCAAACTGCTTGCCTTCTCAAAGGGGTGGAAAGGGGGAGAAGGAGGAAGGGAGAGAATTTGGAATTCGAAGTTTTAAAAACGAATGTTAAAAACTGTTTTTACATGTAACTAGGGAAAAATAAAATACTAAATAAAAATAAGAAAAAAAAAGGTAGGATTTGAAATGAGTCTTGAAGGAAGCCTGGAAACATAGGTAAGAAGTGAAAAGGCAATACATTCCACATATGTGGAACAGCACGTAAAAAGACAAAGAGGTAGGAGATATGTCTTTTTCAAGGCACAGAAAGTAAGCCAATTATGTGTATATGTGTATACACACATTTTTTTTTTCGCATGAGACATTTATCAACAATCACTTCCATAAGCTTTTGAGTTTTAAATTTTTCTCCCCCTCCCTCCCCACGACGGCACACAATCTGATCATTCCTGTTAGGTTGCAAGTTCCCTAAGGAGCTCTGCCTACCATGGCAGATTCCTTGAGAATCCTTACCTGCTGTATACCATAACAATAAATCTTTGCCACTTTGACTTAAAGAATGCTTGAGTCTGTGAATTCATTCCAGATTACCCTGTCCTATACTCTGGTCCTTGAGGGATCTAAATCTCTCAGATCACAACACTATCAGCCAACTAGAAATTTCTATTGGTTTAGAGTGACAGAATTGTTGACTGCCCTTAAATTTGCAATTCCTACTCTGATTATTCTTCTGCAGGCTGGGCTGGATGCTAAAAGTGAGAAACAGCACTGCTCCTGGGGTCTAAACCATACCTTTACTACTTTCTTCTAAACTTCTTCCTTTCCACCCATGGCATCCCTACCTGGGAACACCACCCCAGGGCACAAGTCCCCTTCTCAGTCCACCCTGGATCTATGAGAACTAGGTACTGGGCTGCCAGTTGCTGTAGAATATATTATCTTCCTTGTTTCACCTCATCCCTTTCCCCTTGAAGCATTTCACATCTCCCCAGTCAATGATCTATACACCTATGAAAAGAGAGAGAGAGAGAGAGTATTGAAAAGTGATGTTACCTTTCCTTTCAGCTTTTGGGTATGCTGAGTATGTTCCAACTCCTGGCCTTTCAACTGCACCATTAAGGCAAACACTTTTTCCCTCCAACGGCTTAGCAGGGCCTGAGCCTTCTTGGCTGCGTCAGACTCCAGGGGGTTTGTGGGCTGGACCTTCAAGGTAGAGAAGAAACATGAGGTCAAGGCTTCCATGGGAATAAGGTAAATATCCATTACTGCTCCTGCCTATCTTAAGCAACAAAAAGATCAAGATAAAAGTGAAAATCCATAAAATAAGAAGGAAAAGTGAAGAGAGGAAGAGTCCAAGAAGAACTAGGCTGGTAAGGGATACCTAAGTCCCAGGAGGGAGCAAGAATACTTGAATTCTGTGAAGATAGCAAAGCTTACCTTTCGACCCAGTTCCTCTTCCTGTAGGGCAAGGATGTCCTGGAGGCTCTGCACTCTAACCTGTAGCAACTCCAAAGTGGTACACAAGGCATTCCGCTCCTCTTGCAAATGCTGGCCAGGGGAAGGAAATTCTTATCTACGGTAGCATCTTTGTATTTGTCCCTAAAATGTGCCTACTTCTCCCTCCCCTCAGGTCTCTGTGTACCACAAGGTAATGTCCCCTTCTAAGCTAAGAACTGTTCTCCCCTAATATTCATCACCTCCAAAAGAATCTCTATCCACCTCCAATCTCCCAACCCATATCTCTATCTCCACCCCAAGGATAAAACCACTCCTCTTATCTCTCACCTGCACCTTCTCCAGCAGCTGCTTTCGCTCCTGCTCCCACGTCTGGTTCTTGCTTTCTGGTGGGATGCGATCCCCTACATACCTCCTAAGCTGCTCAACAAGGGCCACCTGGGTCTTGAGCTCTGCATGGGCCTTACTAAATTGTTGAGTAGGAGTGAGAAAGTAAAGGCTATCAGTGAAAGACCCCAGAAACCTGCTCTTCCTACACAGCTGCTAACTCCTTTTATCGACCCTATATTCCTCCTCACCTTAGTTCCTCCCTTAACATCTTAGCCTCTTTCTGTACAACGGCCAGCTCCTTGGTCTCTTTGTCCCTCTTAGATTCCATGGTCTTGAGTTTCTCCTCCAACTCATGGGCCTTGTTGGCCAGGGTAGCAAGAGCTTCCTGGTGAGCTTCGGTCATGTGGGAGATCTCAAGAGGAAAAGAGTGACAGAGCAGGGCTGAGCAAGAAGGAGCTTCTCACCTTTCCTCTAAAAGTTCCCACTTCCTCAAACTTCCCAGTGGCCTACTTGTCTTCCCTTCCTATCTCCCTTCTCTTCCTGGGCCCCTATTTCTATCTTCCCCACTCTCTTACTTTAATTAATACAATACCTGTTAAACTTGTATTAAATGGCTACTGTATTTAAAGCACTGTGCTAAGCATTAGGACAGATACAAAATTTAAATTAAGAAATTGTCCCTAATCTCATCAAGCTGATGATCCAAGAGAATGACACATATGCAACTGTCTATAGTTAAAAAAAAAAATGTGTAATGTGTGTGTGTGTGTGTGTGTATATATACGTATGAATTATAAGGCTATCAAAGAAGTGTAAATTAAGTACTGTGTAAGGAGAATCAGGAAAGTTGTCGGTTTGAGGGGTTTTGTTTGTTTGAGCAAGAGGCATTTAATCTAGTTTTTAAAGAATGAGTAGGAATTCATTAAGCAAGGAGGTACTCCAGGTAGGCACAGAGTACAATTTGAACAAAGGTACTGAGGTGGGAAATACCAGAATATGTATGAAGGACACATACAATTTATCCTGAAGCATATACAGTGTATAGAAGGGGGTAATATGAAATAAGGCCAGAGAGTTTGGGTAGGACCAGATTTTGGACAGTCTTAAAAACCAAACTAAGGAGTTACCAAACTAAGGAGTTTTAACTTTATTTAACTTCAGTAGGGAGCTACTGTAGGATTTTGAATAAGGGTGATTCAACCAAATGTGGGCAAAGATGTGAAGGATGGATTGGAGTGGGGAGGGTAGTGGTTGGAAGATCTTTTAGGAGACTACTGCAATATTCTAGGCAGATAGTGTTCAGGGCCTATTTTAACATATGCTTGGGTTCCAAAAGGAAAATAGGTAGAATACTTGAGTACTAAGAAATAAATGAAAGTTTTGGGAAAGAAGAAGGATATCTGAATTCTGAGAAGTGGAGAGAGAGAACAAAGAGAACGAATGTAGAATGACCTGTCCTAACTGCCCCAGCCTGCTAGCTTCAGGTTCTTTACTCTGGATTCTCAACATCCTCCTGGCCAGATTAGTATTCTAATCGAATACCAAAGGATCTTTGCTTAAGTGATTACCTCAGACTAATTCCCTTCAATGTGGAACTGAGACAAACCCCAATTAACACCTAGTATTTCCTTATTCTCATTCACCTGATCCTTGTGCAGCTTCTGGGTCTCTTCCAGCTCTTGTCTGTTTCCTTCTTCCAATTTCTGCCGAATGAGCTCTGCCCCAGCCAAGGCAGCACGAAGCTCCTCTACTTCAACCTGCATAGCCTCCTTTGCCTGTCCCAAGACTTCCAGCTCCTCAGCCTGAGTTGCCAGCTGAGCCTTCTGATGGACTGAAGCCAACCGCAAAGCCTGGCTCTCCATCTCAAGTCTCCGCATCTCTTCCAGGTGCTGAGTGAACTCACTCTGAGACTTCAAGCCCTGTGGCCCTACGTTGTCCAGGGACCTTTAGGGAAAGTTACAGGTGAGATATGGCCTCTTTGCTCTTATACAAAAAAAGAATGGACAAATGGGCCTACCCAGTTCCCATCTAGGTAGTTATGAGGACAACTTCTCCGCTCTAATATGCAGGGATGAAGAAGGAACAAGGGGGCCTCTGGGGAAATTGGAAATCAGTCAGACACACAAAAAGATGCAAAACCTGCAAAAGTAAGGATTCTGTGGTCTACTCTGAAGAGATCCTTAACAAATGTTTATCTAGCCCTTTTTATGTGGAGAGCACTAAGCTAGATGCTAGGGATACAACAAGGTATATGCCATCAAGGGCCTTAATCTAGTTGAGAAGGGAAGGCAAATACATACATAAAAAGATAATAGTTGCATCTATTAAGTGTGCCTCATGAATGGTATAGACAATGAGTGCTAGGATATCTGGTAAGAATTCTGCTTGAGGTGGAAAAGGGAAGGGATACTCGGTCTTTTGGGGTTTAGTTAGAGAAAACGAGGAGCCTGAACACCATCCTGAGGTAGAGGCAGAGAAGGAAATGGATCCTCTTGGATTCTCTCCTAATGTGGAGACAATATGGGCCAGTTAACAATAATTTATTGAGGGTTTACTATATAAACTATCCTAAACTTTCTGAGGAGAGGCAATAAAAATAAAAGACATGGTCCCATCCTTGAGAAACAGCTCTAATTTCATTATAATGTTATTTTAGAACCCATGACTGCCTTATAACAAAGTCCTTTGGTAACTCAGGGGCAAAAAACCCTAGTGGACAGGATCTAACTCCACTGTAACTCCACTCTAAAGCCAATAATTTTATTAAGACATTATGGTACAGTTTAGAAAAGTCAGGATACAGGCATGAGATAAGAAAAAAATACAAAAAAAAATCAGATAATATGGTTCAAATTTCATACATGAAAGCAGAAGGTACACAGGATCAAAAAACAATCAGAACTGTTTGGTTTTTTTCTCTTTGTTTTTTTCCCTTTTTTTATTAATTTATTTCAATTTATCAATAATCACTTCCATATGCTTTTGAGTTTAAACTTTTTCTCCCCCTTCCTCCCCACCACCTCTATCTTTGTTACAAGGTAAGACTTGCTGGGTAAAATAGAAGAGAAGGGTATATTTGGAAATTAATGGAATGTAAAAGAAAAAGGCATCAATAAAACTTTTTTTAAAATAACACAGGAGTGAAGAACAATTATAGGCAGAAGCTAGGATAGCTAGGTCCCTACCTGATCCTTCTTTTGGGATCCTCACTATCACCTGCCCCAATTTGTTCTCTCAAAATATGTAGTCCATGATGCTCCCATCTATGATCACTGTTATCATTACCATGATGGGGTGAAGGCAGGACTATGGGCAAGTGTGGGGACTGTACAGAAGTGATCCTGGACATGCCTGGAAGCGGCCGTTTCTGGAAATGAGATGGAGGCATGAGCCTACTGAGACCTGAGTAAGAAGAGAATAGAAGGGTCAGTATTGAAGGTATAGGAATAGAGCGTGCAATCTCCAATTCCATTGCCCAGCCCTGCCCCTTTTACCAGAAGACTGGAGCATCCTAAAAGTGGATGGGAGTTCCAGGTTCCTTCTCCAACCATCCATTCTCTCCTGTGAATCAAGAGAAACACCTCAAGCTCCATTTCACTTTCCAAGCTTCCAACTAATCCCTGGGAAAGATCCTATGATAACCTACACAATTCTTTAGATGATTTAAGGTCTATCCAGCAGTCATTACTTTCCTTTCAAACCTCCCCATCCCTATCACCCCCCTTTTGAAAGAGACAAACTGGAACATCTATGAAATAGTCAGTGGTTGGCCCTACCCAGCTTTGATAAGAGACTCCATAATACAAAATTCATGATAAAAAATAATTTTCTAAGGGAAGCAGGATCTAAGGTTAAGGCCTCCAGATTCCTGAAGGTCTACATGGCATCCATAGGACTTTGAGCAGTGCCTTTCCCTCCCCTTATGGCTCTATTTTTCTTATTGATTCTGTGATTTAAAGGTGAGTGAGCACATATGGTATTAAAGGGCTGAAGAAGCAGCTCTACTGGATTGTTTGCTCAGTGCAGCCCCGGGGAAATTCCCTCCCCACACCATTATTCCCAAGCCTGATTCCCCTTCCCCATCGGCATACTGCTTGGCACCAGACGAAGTCTGTAAGATGCAGAGATCTCGAGTTACCATTAACTGCATAGCAACTTTCGGAACCATCTTCCTGGGCAAGCAGGAAGTCTAACCGTCTTTTGCCCGTGTTTAAAGGCTTTTGCTCAGCTCTAGGCCCTGCTCTGGAAGTCTGTCTTTCATCCCACCCTGATGCTCTCAAACTCTCTCTCTCCGTCCCCCTTGCCATCCATTCCTGCCGTCGTCCTCCCCGCCCCCGCCCCTGCACCCCCGTGGTCCGCCCCCTCTCTTAGCCCTTAGCTCCCCGTCCTCGGCTCCCTCCCTCCCCGCCTCCCCCTTTACTTGCTCTGCCCTGGTCTCGTCACAACTGCAGCTCTCCCGGCCCCCTCTGCCCCTCAGCGCCCCCACTTCCCAGGCCTCCCCCTGTCTAACCGCCGGGCCCCTTCCTCCTGCTCCCCCTTCCCCGGGACCTCCGTGTCCCCGTGCCTCGTCTCTCTGTTGCCCCCTCGCCCCACAGCCCCTGACCTCCAGCACTTTCTTTACCCTGCCCCTGTCCCCTCAGCTCCCTAGTTGCCCACGTTGCCCTGCCCCTCTCCGCCCCTTCCCGCCCTCAACTGACTCACTCTCGCGCCCCCTCAACCAGCGCGATACGCCCCCCTCCCCCTGCGGCTCCACATCCCCCCTCCTCCACAATATACCTCCCCCATTCCTCCCCACACCCCCACGCCCCCGCCTCCACCCCGCCCTCTACTGACTTACTGCGCCTGCGCAGAGCGGGCTAGCCCGCGGGCCCTCGGATTTGCGTACTTTATCAGGAATAGGGGGGAGAAAAGGGTGAATCGGTACACGCAAGCGCCGTGGCGTCCATATGGTGAACCAATCCAGGGACTCGAACGGTCCCCGCGCCCTTACAGATCCCGCCTCCGCACCGAGCTCCTCCTCCTCTCCCTGAAACCCGGGAAAATTCGATGACCAATCGGGAAGCGAAGAAAGCGGTCGCGCCGGGTCCTTTTTGTGCCCTTCCTGACCATTAACCAATGGGGTCTCGGCGATGGAATGAGGACGGTCCAATGGGGAAATGGCATTGGGAGGGGGGCAGGGCCTCTGAGGCGCGCGGAATTCGGGCCCGGGAATTAGCGAGGGTGCTGGGTGCGCGCCTGTGCTCAGAGGCTCCGCCCCGCTCCTGTTCGGCCCGGCTCCTGCCAGAACCCTCTGCTTTTGCCAGCCCTGTCAAACTTCAGCCCGAGCGTGCGCGCGGGGACAGGGTGGGGTGGGGGTCCCGTGGAGGGGGCCTGGGTCATTGCCTCCTCAGTCGAGGTTTGTATTACCTGAGGCAGGGGCACGGCACGCTGAGATTGTCCGGCACTGATTGATCCGAAATTAGACTGCCCGGGCTGGGGGGACCCGCGTTTGCATTGCTTCGGAAGCAGTAGGACCCCAGGTTTGCATTGCACTCGAAGGGGGAGGGAGGTAAGGGATCGTGCTTCGCTTTACTCCAGAAATAGGAAGCCTCAGCCCGCATTTTCGGGGTTGCAGTCACATCACCTTGAAAGATTCTGAATCCCTTTGACACGAGTGAGGTGTTGGGCCAGGAAAGTTGTGGGGGAAGGGCCTCTGGAAGAGCCCTTTTGAAAGAAAGGGCCACCTCGCCCCCAATTGCACTGGTCGACTTAAGTTAATATTGAACGGTGGTGGAAACTGGCCCCAGCACCCTCAGTTAACTACTCCTTTATATAACATTGCACAAACTGAATATACTCTGGGTATTAGTTGCACAGGTTATGAACCCATAATTTAGCGTGATGCACATTCCCTAGTTTTGCACTGCACAAGGGATGACACCTTAATTTTTTTTCTTTCAAGGCCAAGTTGTTCCCCTCGGTTTGCATTTGTTCATCTTTCATTGCACTGGCAGAGTGCCTTCCAATTTTGCACTGCACTGAGAATGTACATCTAGACTTGAACTGCACAAGAATTGTACTCCAAGGTTGCATCAGAACATCTCTCAATTTTCATTTGCCCAAGGGTAGAAAGAGCTATGTGTTCCCTGACTTTAGTAAGGGGTCCCTAGGGGAAAGCCCCTCCCCCCATGTTGCCCTGCTTCCAGCTGCTTCGCATGGGGGTTGGGAGGGGTGGAGATCTCTATACTTTTCACCCCCCAACTGGGGCTGGCTGTACCTACCACTTGGGCCTCAGGGCTGATCTGTGTGATGTGGCCCTTCGGCCCCAGTGTGAGCCTGTCCTCATCTCTCCGGTCCATGCCAAGCTGCATGCTGAAGGCCAAGGTGACGACTGGAGAGTCAGCCTGGAGGACTGCAGTAGCTATGGTGAGCCTGGACATGGCTGGCCCTGTTTTTAGGCAGAATAGGTATAAATAGGTATGGTATGATTTGAGAAGTACCACAGGACCTTGACCTGACCAAAAAACAGCACCCCCTCCTGTTTGTCATTGCCATTAGAATTTTTCCTCCTTTGGGTTGAACAACAAAGACCAAAAGACTTTGGTTGTCTCCAAAAGGTACCAGCTATTTGTTGGGGTAATGTGATATATATGATATATATGTGTATATATATATATGATATGGATATGTATGTGTGTGTGTGTATATATATACATACATACATATATATGTGTGTGTGTATATATATATATATATATATCTCCTACCTGAGAAGGGTGAAAGCCTATCAGAGCAGATTAGCTCCATAGTTGAGTTATGAGATTAGTCCCATTTTTATAGTGTTCTGTTATTACAGAATTGTTTCATTTGTCCTGTCATTTGATCTTTAAAATAATTATGTGAGATAGGTAGTATGAGCAGGTATTCCCATTTTATAGTTTTCTGAGGTTCAGGTTAAGTGACTTAATTCATGTTTCTGTAGCAATTTAAGGTTTATTGGTCATTTTCCTGTCAGCAATCCTGTGAAGTATATAGTGTAAATATTATTATTTTTGTTACGGGGAAGGCTTACTGGGTAAGGATATTTGTTATTCCCCATTATACAGATGAAGAAACTGAGTACTAACTATGTTTAACCCAGGGTCCCATAGTCAGTAAATTTCAAAGGGTAACCAGAGTTCACTCCATACACACTGCCCCTGTTTTAGCAAATTAGCAAACTCTCTCACCTTGGAAAGCAGAAAACAGGGCCCCAAGGCCATTGTACACAAGATAAAGATGTTATTGTGGATCAAGAAAAAAAAGGGGGGAGGTAAGTGGGATTCAGTTCTAGAAGTGAAGAGAAAAGGTAGGGATACTCTGGCACAGGTTTCCAAGGAGTTGGCAATGAAATTAAATAAATATAGGGACTTTTCAAGATCATATCTCCAAGGTGGACATACTCCCTCTGCTGCTCACTAGTAGTCCAGGTTCCCAAAGCTTTAGTATTTTTCTTTGTTACTTTGGCCTGACCATGTTGTTGTTCGGCCATTCAGCTATGGCTGACTCTTTGTGCCCCGTGGCCGTTTTTGTCCACAGGGTTTTCTTGGCCCTTGGAGTAGCCATTTCCTTCTCCAGTGGATTTAGGCAAACAGGTTAAGTGACTTACCCAGGGTCACACAGTTCATAAGAGGCTGGATTTGAACTCAGGTCTTCCTAACTCCAGGCCCATTGCTCTATCCACTAAGTCACCTAGATGTCCATAGATTTCAGAAAAGGTTCCTTTTGACCCAAAAGATTTTTTAATGTTTGACCAGAAAGAAAGAGTAGGTACTTCTGTGCCTCAGAAGCCCTATGGTCCATATTGGTGGGACAAGGAAAGTCCCAAAACTAGGACTGTCTCTGTTTGGAAACAGGTCTGAGTTTCTAACTAGCCAGATTGGTTTCTTATTGTCAACAAAGACTGAGTCTTTACAGAATAAGATTTTAAAAGGACTGGGGAAGAATTCCTAACTTTTTCCATTCTGTGCCAACTTTGTTAGGAAACCTCCAGAAGGGGTAAGCAGAGAGATTGGGGGAAGCCCATCTCTCCAGTTCATCAGGAGCCTGGCAGGATAGGAAACTAGGGAGAAGCAAATCCCTTAGGCCTGTGCACTCACTGCTTATAGAGTCAAGATCCAGATTCAAATTCCAGCTTATTTACTTGCTGTGTTATGGAACTCTGTACAGGTCCCTTTCCCTGCACTAAATGAATGGTAAAGCCCCTTTTAGCTTTACCAGTTTACAAAACAGTCCTTGTCCTCTAAGAGCTTGAGGTTACAATCTGGGTGAGACTGAAGTGGGAGGAGAGGATATGGACAGTTTCCTTAATCAGCTTGATTTCATCTTAGGAAACCAGACTGTTCTACATGACTGTTTGACTGTTGTCTTTGTCTTGCCTTCTCTTTCTCTGCCTTTCTTCTCTTCATCTGTTTCTTTTCTCTCTCCCTCTCTCTCTCGCTCTCTGTTTCTTTTCTCTCTTTGTCTTCCCCCACTCCCTCTCTTATTTGCAGGTACCTTGGTCAACAATATCAGGCTACCCAGGGGTCACCAACTGGAACTAAGTGACGGTGACCTCCTAACCTTTGGCCCTAAGGGGCCTGTGGGGGCCAGCCCTCCTGAGTTCTACTTCATGTTCCAGCGTGTGCGAGTCCGACCCCAGGACTTTGCTGCTATCACTATCCCCAGAGCTGGGGGGGAATCAGGAGGTGAAGGTGGTTTTTGGCCTATGCTGCCCCCTCAGGGGGCCCCACAGCGTCCCCTCAGCACCCTCTCCCCTGCTCCCAAGGCTACCCTGATCCTCAGCTCCATTGGCAGCCTCAGCAAACTCCAGCCTCAGCCCCTTACATTCTCCAGGGTCGGGGGTGGAGGTCAGAGCCTGACCTTTCCTGTGACCTTTAGGGAGGCAGGGGCCACCCTTCCCACCCCACCTCCAGCCCCTCGGAACCGTCGGAAGTCAGCACACAAGGTGCTGGCTGAGCTAGAGGATGAGGGAGGAACTGAGGAGAACCCTCCCAGAGTTCAGGCTGAAACCAGGAAGAAGCCCCGAGGAATGAAGATTCCAGTCACTCCCTGTGGGTAAGTGGGGGACCGCCCTAACCTCAGAGAGACAGAGGGAATTTAGGGCTGTCCCCATCCTCACCAGCATCTTTGTTCTCTGGAACCTGCCATCATATCCGCGCCCCTCCTCCTTTTCACACATGTAAATGCACATAAACACCTTTGCTCTGAGAGGACCTGAGCTGGGGGGAGCTCTTTCTCCCCTCTGGCTCAGGAAGAGAGAAGGAATGCCCCCAAGAGAGGAAGGGGAGAGAAGGCTCTGGAAAAACTCCAGGCCAGATAAGCCATATTCACCATTGAACTCCACAGATGTCTAAGATGTCTCTTAAGAGACAAAGACAGAAGAAGAAACGGGAGCTTGGTAGGGACTATGAGGAAAAAACTGGAGGGGTGATAAGAACAAAGGTGGGGAGGAAGAGAGAAATGGTAGACATGGGAAAGAAAGAAAAGTATATAGTACTTTAAGATTTACAGAGCTTTTACCTCACTGAGGTAACAAGTATTATCCATATTTTACAGATGAGGAAATAGCTTCAGGTTAAATGATAGTGTTTAACCATACACACAAATACACATTCCTGGCCTTTTTCATAGAGACACAGTGTGGTACAGTGGCAAGAGCATTGAATTTGGACACAGAGGACCTGGGTTCAAATCCTGCTGCTACCACTTGCTACCTTTATCACTCTGGGCAAGTCACAGCCTGTGTAGGTACTGTTTTCCTCCTATGAAGGATGAGAGTTTGGACTAGGTAGCCTTTGATTTGCCCTTGGTCACCTAGCAAGTATGACTGTCAGAATATGAACTCAGGCTTCTTGACTACCAGATCCAACATTCTTTCCACCGTACCAGTGCCCTACTCAGAAATGGGGGAAAGTCCTTCAAGTACTTCTTGTCTGCCACACTGAATCAGGTTGGACCCTAAACTCATCTCTAGGAATAGGAGCACATTTCTATCTTCCCTTGTTCAGGATTTTTTTGTGTCTTTCCACCAAATCCCCTTTCAGAAAGCGACGTGGCCGTCCCCGGAAGTACCTGTCATCTCGGACTGCAGTTCCCCCTCCGGTTGGGGGAGGGGAGCCCTGTGCAGCCCCCAGCTGCCAACCACCCCAGGAAGAGACAGTGGCCTGGGTCCAATGTGATGGCTGTGATGAGTGGTTCCATGTGGCCTGTGCAGGTTGCAGCTACCGGGCTGCCCAAGAGGCTGACTACCGCTGTTCTAGTTGCCAAGCCTAAGGTGATGGAAATTGGTTCAAAAAGATCATGGCAACTTGCTGCCACTCCGTGGAAATGGGACCCAAAAGCCAGGGGTTGGATATGGTAGGAATGAAAGGGGTTCTGAAGGAATACTCTCTACTTCCCTTCCCAGGAGGAAAGACTTCCAGGAAGGAATTGCCCATTGCCATGGATACTAACTGACTAAGGGACCTTAGCAGTCCCCTAAAGTAACATGGAAAAAAGTGCCTTTTGGCTGTGGCTGTTGTCTCAAGGAGTGTCCAGTTGCTAGAGAACATGGAACTGATTCCAGGGTCCTGTTGCCTCCAGATGCCATATGCCTGAGATCAGAGTTACCAACTCTGGAAGTCAAGATCATGTCAGATGAATGGCTTCAGGAACTCTAAAACTGGATGAGGAAGATTTTGGAGGGCCATTTATAGTACTTCCCTGGGAGAATCTGGAAAACTTCAGGTTTGGCTGTGAGAGGGCAGGGAAAAGGAGAAAAGAAAAATGTTCTAGTATGACTCTGATCCCTCAAATATGCTGCTTCCATCATAACAGCCTACCCCAAAGCTCTACTGGCCATTATGTCCAGTTCCCCAATCTTTGGTCTTTTCTGATCTGTCCTTTCCCCTTCCTGCTTATTTCCAAATAAAGAACCAGCTGCTGATTTGTCCCTCTGTCATTTTGTTTCCAGACACCATAGACTTCACCCACACTCTTCCTCACAATCACGTTGGTGTATGTTGACTTGAACTTGGCTCTGGGGGAGACCTGGATAGCCTGTAATCCCAGCCTGAAGAGGTCAGTGAGATATATTTCGAAGCAAAAGAATGCCGAATTAATTCAAGTAGAAAGGAAAGCCAATCCAATAAACATTTGATGATGGATTGAAAATGGTTTGAAAAGGAAGGAGGAATCAATCTGTTATCATGGCACCTTTGTTCCTTACAATCCCAAACACTTTTTTGATTGTCACTGCAGTCTCCAATTCCTCTGCCCTTCAGTTTTTCCTGTCGTCCGTGCATGGCCTACATTCTCCCTTCCCTATCTTGACTCCATAGCAAACCAGTTCAACTTTACCCTGTGCTCTTCTCTTGGGTCTCTCCTTACTCCCACCCCCTGCTTCCGCTGCTCCACATGCTGCTGAGGAAAACTCAGAAAACCAGGTTGACTGGACCCACTGCAAATTCATGTTACATAATCTCAAGTGGGCCCTCCATACCTCCCTTATCAAAGTGATGATCCCACTCCACACAGTGATTTAAACCTTCCATCACTCCTCCATATCTGATCCTCTCAACTAAGAACCTTTCCTCATTTCGCTCTTTAAAATAAGGCCATTTGCTAAGAACTTGCTTCCTCTTCTTCCCCCTTCGTGTTACATCTCAGTGGCACTTTGCCATAATCTCCTCCATCCCTGTTTCACATGAAGAGACAGCCCTTCTTGTCAAGGCCAATCCTTCTACGTGCAAGAGTGATCCCATTTCATCCTATCTTCTCCAGCAGATTACTCCCTCCATCATCCCTATTCTCAATAATCTTCAATCTCTCCCAGTATGCTTGATAGGGTGCTTGTACTTAGACCCCACTTCCAAGATCACATTTCTCCCTAGCCTCAGAACACTATCCCTGACAGTTTTCTCCCCAGCCCAAAGACCCTATTTCTGGCAGTAACTCTTGAGTGGGCCCGTGAGATAAACTATCTCACTATCTCTCCCTGTTTGTTACAAGAACAAGCTGTCCTCTATAGAATTGCACTTGTATGAACGAGATTATCTTGTATCAACGAAACTATCATACTGGTTCCCACAGTTATTATATACAATCCAGAGGTCAAGTTATAGGCATCAACTCCCAAAGCTATCTTCTTACAGATGTAACAGACCAAAAATACAGCCCTTAGCAACACCCCCTCCCCAGTTTCCAGTAGTAAATAATGAATGTGACTAAGGTTGTATGTTATCACCTAATCAGCATACTTGGCACACAATCCACTACTTTTCCTATATAAGCTTTAGCATCATTCCTGTTAGATAGCAGAATTCCTTAAGGAGCTCTGCCTGCCATATTAGCGTTATATTAAGCCTTTGCCAACTTGATTTAAAGAATGCTTGAGTTCATGAACTCATTCCAGACTACCCTGTCCTGTACTTCAGTTCTTGAGGGGTCCCTAAACCTCTCAAACCCAATTATACTGGATGCTTTTCTACTGCCTATGAGCACACCCATGTCTCCCCCATCCTCAAAAAAAATAAATAAAATAAACCTACTTGATCTCTTCTTTCCTGTTAGCAATTGTCCCATCTCTCTCCTTTGTAGCCAAGTTTGAGAAGGCTATCTATAATCAGTGTCTTCATTTCTTTTCCTCTTTCTTAATTCTCTTCAGTCTGACTTCTGGCCACATAATTTGAACGAAACTGCTTCCTTCAAAGTTACTAATGATCTCTTAATTGCCAAATCTAATGTTCTTTTTTCAATCCTCATCCCCCTTGATCTCTTTGCAGCCTTAGACACTGGCAATCACTGTCTTTTTTTTTGATACTCCCTTTTCTCTAGGTCAGGCATGCACAACTTGTGGCCAGTGGGCTGCTTACAGCCCTCAGGTCACTTGCAGCATGCCAGATTGTGGCTTGCGAAAAATGTAGAGAAAAACATCCCTTGTAGCAAGAGGAGGCTGCCACAAATTCGGCCTTGGGCTGCAATTGTGCGGGCCTGCTCTAGATTTTGATTATACTGCTCTCTGGTTCTCCCTGTCTAACCATTCTTCCTCAGGCTCCTTTGCTGTATCTTTATCCAAGCTGCACCTACTAACCATGGATGTCCTCTAAGGCTCTGTCTTAGTCCCTCTTGTTTTCTCCCCCTATTATTTTTCTTTATGATGTTATTTCATTTCTACTTATTCAACCCAGCCTTTCTCCTTCCAGTGTCTGATCTCCAATTGCCTATTGGACATCTCAAACTGGATGTCCTACAAACATTGCAAACTCAACTTGTCCAAAACCATTCTCATTCTCTATCCCCAAACTTTCCCCTCTTCTTAATTTCCCTATTACTGATGGGGGTACCACCATACTCACAGTTACCTACACTCAAAACCTAGGTATCATCCTTAATTCCTTTCTCTTAATCCCACCTTTCCCAATAAACAATCTTTTGCCAAGTTTCATCCATTCTACCTTCACAACATCTCTCATATACCCACTTCTCTCCATGAACCTGATGCAGACCATAATCACCTCCTACCTGGACTATTGAAATAGCCATCTGGTTGGTCTCATTGACTCTACTCTCCCTGTGCCAGTCCATCTTCTATTTAGCTGTCATCTTGGTCTCCTGAAGTCTAACCCTCCTATTTAATAAACTTCAGTAGTTTCCTAGAAGCAAATATAAAATCCTCTTTGGCTTTTAAAACTCTCCATAGCCTGACCCTTTCATACCCTTCTAATCTTTACACCTTATTCCCTTCCATGTACTCTATAATTGAGTGACACTGACCTCCTTGCTATTCTCCCACAAGACAATCCATTTCCCTACTCCATGTATTTTCATTGGCTCTCCCCCAGTTCTGGAATGTTCTCCCTCCTCATCACTGCCACTTGGCTTCTTTCAAGGTTCAACTAAAATCTCATCTTCAAGAGGCCTTTCTCTGTCCCCCTTAATTTAGTGCCTTCCTTCGGAGATTATTTCCAATTTATCCTGTATGTATCTTGTTCATACATAGTTGTTTTCGTGTTGTTTCCCACATTACATTGTAATCTCCTTGAGGGCAGAGACTTTTTATATTGATGGTGCTTAGCTGGACACATGGAAGTGGGTAAGTTGAGAAGGAAGCTGATGGACCTAGTTTTCAACTAATAGATGATTCCTCTTTTCAGTGGAGAAGTGAGGAACTATCAGCATGGAATATTGTCTGCAATATCAAATTCAGTCACTTTGTCTGCTTAAACTTCCCCTCCCCCTACTTGTTATATAAGGAAGGCTTAACTAGTGGTAGACAGGTATCTTCTGACACAAGTGAAGTAAAAACAAAAGACTGTTATCAAGTGATGTTGGAACATCCAACGGAAAACATTCTATAGATATGGGAGAACCGTGGAGACTCAGAGCTAAAAGACTAGAGATCATCTAATCAAAATCCTTTATTTCATGAGTTGAGGACTGAGGTGAAGTGTTTTACTCAAGGTCACAGAGGTAGCAAATGGCAGAACTGAGACCAGAACTCAAGTCTTTTGATTCTAAGTGGGATGTAGACAAAGGAACCAAGAGACCAAGGAAGGCACAGGGTTCTGGAAACCAAGGATAGCAAACATTTATTAAATTCACTCTGTGTGCAGTACTATACTTAGTGTTGGGTTGGAGGAGCTGTGAAGTTTAGAAAGAATCTTCCTAAATTCACTAGTAGGGGGTGCTAGTAGGTGCTAAATGCTAGTAGGGGAACAGGCATAAATAATCATACAAGTGAGTCAGGAAGGTGGAAGTAAAGAGCGGAAATGAGGTCACAGTTAGGGAAAGGTTAGCTGGGAAAAGAGGAAGAAAATCTGTCAAGGGTTTCTAGATGGAGTGACATGTCAGTTGGATTTGACTGCAGGTAAAAATTCAACAGGAAAGGCTGTCTGGAGAGCAATGTGACCCAGAGGCCTGTGACCCTAATAAATCACCAGGCACCACCCTAGAATCTCTTGACCTGTTCCAACTCTGGGTGACCCCTGCCATCATAATTATCCCTCTTCCAGGTTATTAAGCATTAGTGGAGAAAGTTATAAAATCCAGCTGATTTCTCCCAGTAACATTGTGCATACTGTAATTTGAGCTAAGCCTTGACTGCTACTCAGCAATTCTACTGTATTCAGTCTCTTTCTACAATTTTCCCTCTCTCCTCAAGTCTCCAACTTTGATTTCATCTCCCCATGCTTCCATATGCACTAGCTTCCCATTTCACTGGGTAAATGGAGTCCATTTTACTAGAGCTTCCTCAGCTAGCTTCTTTCCACCTCACATCAAAACTTTACAGCATCTTCATCTGTTCTCTTCTTCCTTGTTCTCTCAAAGGAAAAGGCCTGCTCATTGCTGGTTCTTATGTCCTTGATTCCAAATTACCCTTCCTACAAAATCATATTACAGCCATAGAATTCATTCTCTTTCTATCATGCATCATCCCACTCTTCCTTTCCTTTGGTTCTTTCCCATCTGAATACAGGCATGTTCAGTTCTCTTCAAAGCTAAAAAATTATTCCTTTGACAAGACCTGAAGGAGGGCAAGTGTCTCCATTTTCAAAAAAGCAGAGTCTATGAATTATATGCCAGTGCCTTGACTTCAATTCCTGGCAAAATTCTGGAACATATTAAAGAGATTGTTAATGAACATCTAAAGAAGGGCATGGAAAGGCTAACCTCATGTCCTTCTTTCATAGGCTTTCTCAACTATGAACTGAGGGGATACCATAGGTAGAATTTGCTTAAATTTTAGCAAAACATTTTTTAGAGTACCTCACACTATTCTTGTGGGAAAGAAGGCAAGATGGAACTAGATGACAACACAATTAGATGAAGTTGTAATGGATTGAATGGCTGGACAAAAAATGGCTCAATGTCAGCTTGAGAGGGGACCCCAGCCCCAGGGATCTGTGCTTGGTCCTAGGCTATTTAACCTTTTTAATGATGACTTGG